ATTGTTTCAAACCCACACACAGACTTCTGCATACACATTCAAGTTTATTGTCTAAGTGGTACTAGACCATGGGCATCTGGGATCCTGACAACTTTGTCACGTTGATGCTGAGAACACTGGCCAGTATCCATTCCCACACTTTGGGATTGCCTTTCGGTTGGTGAGGAGGTCACAGCTTCCACGTTCCTTCACACACAGCCTTGTACACGTCTGGCGTTAGGCTCCGGAAGGTCTGGTTCTTGTTGTCCAGTATGTACAAGGGGTCAGCAATGACTCTCACGTCGAAACCGTCACGTACCAGTTGTAACTTCACCAGCTTGAAGGTGCCTGTGACCTCCAGGGAGTCCTGCAACGCAGTAACCATGACTCCCTGACTGGGACACCAATCCCCTGGTCTACCCATCCACTCCTGCTACCTCTCCCTCACCTGGACACGGATGAAATGAGGTGTGGCGTAAGCAGGGAGCCAGGAACGGACGTGCTGGTACAGCTTCTGCCCATCAAAAGTCTGCCCGGATGCCAGTTTCACAGCAGCCATGCCAACCTTGCCCTCGCACCCTGGAAAGCACACTGCTCACTCTCACCTGTGCCAGCTCTGCTCACCGGCTGTGCAATTAGCCATGACTCTTAACCCCCTCTGTACCCCAAAAGTGTCCCCGGTTGCGATGACAACCTCCCACAAAGGCACAGGGTATTTAAAGTCAGGCAAACTCTCCATACCTGGCACAGGCACGCCATAGACATTGACTTCCTGAAGGAAGTCTAAGCTTGACAAAACTCCCTCCACCTCTCGCGTGGATACATTTTCGCCCTTCCACCTGCACGGTTGGAGGTTATGACCCAGGATAGGAAGGGATCCACTCCCCGGAAAGGGATACTACCCTCCCCCAAGAGACCCCAGGCCCAAGAAGGGATGTTCTGTCCCTGGGAAGAAAAGCCACACCCCAGGAATAAAGGACATGTTCCAGAAAGGGATGCTCTACACCTGGGAAGAGAGGGCCCCACCCATCCCGAGGGAGGCTGGATACCCCAGAAGCCCCAGCCCCCAGCCCACCGGAAGGTGTCACCCAGGCGGTCCCGGAAGTAGAAGAAGCCTTCACTGTCCAAGGACAATACATCTCCAGTATTGTAGTAGAGGTCTCCCACACGCCGCACATCTGCGACCAGTTTCCGCTTGGACTGTTCCCGGGGACCACGGTAGCCCAGAAAGGGTTGGCTCTTTAGTA